CGCGCACAGGAACTGAAATTTAAAACTGTTAAAAGAAAAGGCTCAATAAACTATCGCACAGATTTAATACACTACACTGAACTTTTCTATCTGGAGCGCTGCGTTGTAACTCCGTGTTGCTTCAAGCGCATCATTCTGCGCACGGGATGCACATAAGCGCTTTGTGCCGCTCTGTATTCGAGCCTTTCATGTTATTAAAATACTTTTGCGCAATGAAAGATTGTTAATAGCCTTTCTTTTTCTGTCTTATCATATGTTGCTGCCTCATTACTGTGCTATAAATGTAAAATAAATGCATTTAATTTATTGCATATAACTTTTTTCTTTAAATGTTTAGATTTTATCAAATTATTGTGAACTCATCATTTTTGTACAGTAACTTTTGCTGCTGAATTATCCACTAACCTAGTTTATAATAGTATTTTTCTCATAGATTATGATTATATATTTTTACATTTATTTTTCTTTATAATGAAGTTGTCTAGTTGATTGTGTGTAATACACAAAAGAGTGATGATCAGGTCAACACACACTGAGGTATAGAGAAAAAAAAACTGTGCCTGGTATCGGTATTGTCCGATGTTCAGAACTTTTGGTATCGGATCAGGATCGGTTCTGAAAAAATGGTATCGTGCCACCCCTAATAAACAGTAAACAAAAATGCCCCTGCTTAGTTAAACGAAATCTTTTAAGACTGTCGTGATCAAAGTGAAATGTGAAAATGAATGAAAAGTGTTTGTTGCGGCATACGTTTAGATCTGCTCACGTTTAGATCTGCTCAATGCATAAAATTTCTTTATGCGCGTTTTTCCCCAGCGTTGAGCATTATAATAAATCACACACGTTTGTGTTGGGCGCATATTAGTCACCAGTGAGGAAAAATCCGCAAAACACTACAGTTGTGTTCAGTCAAAGAGTCTAAGTTCTTTGGTTCAGTTCATGCGCTCACTGAATGCATTTTGCACTCTCTCGAATACTGTTATCATAAACAACAGTGCAGAAACGATGTAAACAAGAAATTCATTTCGTGGTTTAGACAGCGAGATTAAGTGAGCTCATGCTAGACTGAAATCATCCGCTTCAGTGATTTGAAAACTTTGTTTATTAGAGGAATATTTGGTTAGCTGGAAAATGTTACATCGCGCCCATGCTTCTGGATGCCGTTCGAGCCCATATAGCCTACATTTATGCGGCTTTGTTCTGGTTTGCCGGTTGGTCACGAATTTCCACAAATTGAATAATATTTAGGCATTGTTTCTTTTCCTAAATCCTCACCGTCTAACCCTCTAATTTCGCAGGTTTATTTTATTGTCATTCACTTTTTATCACTGTTTTCGCATCTAAGGGAAATTAAAGATTTCATGGCCATGAATTAAGAATTTGTTTGATTTATTCATTTGTTCCCTCATTCTAGTTAAATCATGGGTTATTTAAGGAACAAAATTAACTAAACATGGACAGTGGCCACAAATTAATAAGTCGTAGGAACGAATTAACAAGTTGTAGGAATGAATAGCCTATCTGTCCTGTGTCACACACCCCTGCAAAGCGCAGAGCCCGATATGAAAAAATTATCTGGGGAAATGACTTGGTTACTACATTTCTATTGCTTTCCATGTTTAAGAACTTTGTGTTGTTTCTATTTTAATGTACTTTTAAAGTTTAAATCACATTAAAAGCTTAATTTGTACATTATGAATGAATGATGATGCATTTATATACTGTCACCGTCACTCACAGCTGCTCGCACGTGTTTTGCGCGTGAGCCGCACGCAGCCCAAAATTAAACGACTTAATCGACCATCGATAGATTTAATCGATTGCATCTCTTATCGACAATTAATCGATCATCGATTAATCGTTGACATCCCTACCTTAAACGGTACAAGAAAAGACTTTATTATAATTTCAAGATGTCTTAAAACTTGAGGACAGAAAGGCAAGAATCATGATATGACTTAATGTGATGATTAAATTTCATAAGGGTATGATTTCATACAGTAAACAAACAAAAAATTGTCAAAAGCAGCACGGGTGTTTTGATATGAAAATATCTCTGAAGGAAACCGCCTGCCCTCAGAAAAGTTTTGATGGCATTTTCATTTCATCCTGCCTGCGTATGTCTGATATTATAGCGTTAATGAGCGCAGTGCTGCTTTATACAGTCGTTGCTGGGTAAACTGTTTTGTGTCGTTCCAAATGCGCCACCTGCTGGCAATTTGCTGTTTTTGTTCAGAACAATGCAAAACAATGCAAAAATCGCTAATGTGCCTTCAAAAATTCAAAACGATTTTTATCTTTAAATTAAGATAACTTGTGACCCCTTTAAGAAAAGGGATTAGTCAAAAGTAGCTATATGATGTTGCCTTCTTTCTTTGCGTGAACATTTGGGCGGCGTTATGCAAATCTTCCCACATCGTGACGTAGATATGTGAAAAAAAAAAATGTTTTTGAACTGCAAATCATGTTTTTTTACAGTCATTTTATGGTACCAGTCATTAATGTTACCATAGATATTGCCCGCCTTAAATTTTATTTAAAAAATACTGCAGATACCCAGTAAATTCTTTACTTTTTAAAATGTATACTTTATATACTGTATGTTGGCTATTTATATTAGGCAATGATATATGCACAGGGTTTCTGCAGACATGAACAAGTTAAATTTAAGACTTTTTAAGACCTTTTTAATACCACCTTATATGACATTTAAGACCTAAACCTGTCATGGAAATACACATTTTATTACAATACATATGTAATATTTAATGTGTATAAATTAAAAAGAAAACAAAATATCATTGCTGTAATAAATGGCATTTATTACTACGATATACAGTGAACTTTTCATGTCAGCAGACAATATTCCATACAAAATATCCCTGCAAAATAGCTGCATCACTGAGATTTTTGGTGGAGTAAACAATTTATTCTGAAGCAATATTTTCATCAGTGTTCTATCAGCTTTTACATACTTAAATCTGCATATTTACCTTTACAAAGGCCTATTTTTAAACAATTAGAATAATAAGACATTTGGGCTGTTACCAAGCAAATGAAATCAGTATCAACAAAATTGATCTTTGCAATCCAGACATAAGCTGCACCTGAAGTGGCATTTAGAGGTGTTCTGTTTACACACTGTTTAATGTAGAACGTGAATGCATTTAACCTGCAGTTACAAATGCATAAATAATGTTTTGATATATTAAACATAAAACATTGAAATAAAAAATAATTAAGACCCATCGAATCCGAATTTAAGACATTTTAAGGACCCGCGGACACCCTGTATGCAATCCAGACAGGTGGTTTTGAATAGCACAATAAAATCTGATTTAAAGTGAAGAACTCAAGTATGTAAACATGTATTGTACCACAGTTGTAAAGTGCTGGAAAATCTTGAAAAATGCACCTTGAAAGTGCTTGAATTTTACTTTGGAAAAGGTGTAAGAACCCTGTCATTCTAATATGCTGATTTGATGCTCAAGAAACATTTCTTATTACTATCCAATTTGAAAAGTTGCTTAAGCTGCTGCTTAATATATTTTGTGGAAAACATGATACACATTTTTCATGATTCTTTGAGTATTAATTTCTTTAAAAATAATTGTACTGCTCCCAAACTTTTAAATGGTAGTTTAAATATTTGTTAGGTAGTAATTGAGAGTGTTGCTAACATCTGAATCACCTGATCTGGGTGGGCAGTGTGACACCATGCTGTTATCAGCGTGTTTCACAGATAAGCCTGACTTTACTTTAGAAATGAGGTAGGATGGACACACCTCGTTCAGCTCATAGCATTTGTGAATGTGTGTGTAGTGTGTGTTCAAGACATGTTTTCACTCACTGCAGAAGCTCCCAGATGACCATGCCAGAGAAACCACTGGGATGGGACAGATACTGCGTCAGTCAAAAAGGCAGTTATGTATAGAACAGCTGCGACTACATAGAACACCATGAGCTACATGGAGGAAAGGAAGACAGGATTGCAAACTTGATTTAACTGACAAAGTCACAAATAATAGAAGCTATCTCCTCCATTAGAGGAGTAAATGTCTCACCACTAAAGGCCAGGGCACTGAGGGTAGACGCTGATAAAACCTCAACAGCACAACAAACAGGGCAATGCTCAGGAGCCACAGCATCACGCTGACAAACATCACCCAACCATAAGCAGGATACGAGATGTAGCTGGTGCTGGCAATCAGCGACCACACCAGTAATCCAACAAACTACACAGAAGATGGAGATGATCATATGTTAAGCATCAATGACAAAATATAGCCACTTGAAAATTCTGTTATCATTTGCTCAACCTCATGTTGTTCCAAATCTGTACGACTTTGTTCCTCTCTTTTGCATAACTTGAAAGAAGATATTATGAAAGGACTAGGGTTGGGTATCGTTTAAATTTTATCGATTCCGATTCTGCTTATCGATTCCGATTCTTATCGATTCCTAGTTTCGATTCCAATAAGATAAAAAATCCAATATAAAAAAATTAAGTCAAACATTTATTCTGTCTTTTTACAAAGCATTCTGTTGCAGCTGAATAACACGAGCAAAAATCAGCAGCCTACAGAACACTGCAAGAGGAATTTTGCCTATGCTTTAAAAAAAAATACCACAGCAAAAACAACTAGATTAATATAAATGTCAAATATTAAAGTGTTAAAGACAAGTAAACAGTCAGTAATAAGATAGGAACAAACAAATCAATTAGCAATATCATAAATAAATACAACTGAACAAAATTTTAGGTACAGAAACTGTAATTAAAAGTTTAAAAACACTGCATAGTTTTCTTTTCATAAATAAAATATAGATTAATCAATTAAAGTTATTAAATATATTCAGTCAAGATCAGTGAATGATTTTCTTTTGTTCTTTGATTAACATTAATGACAGGCAGCGCGTTTATTAGGCTGCTGTCTCTTTAACTCCGAACGCACACAGATCTAAAAATACTGTACATGTGTGTTTTCTTTCTCATCTGTTTACATTCACTTAAGACAAAAACGGCTGTGTTTATGATGATATACTGACGTAGTTTTCTGCATATTGGTTGACAAATATGAAAGTCAGTCAGTTTCGGCCCGGAACAACCGTTTCTACAGTGGAAATACATGGAATGGTTCGAGAACGGACACAAACCGGGAACCCATACCACGACCTCTGGTCTCTGTGCTCGCGCTTCGTGTGCGCTGCACGCAAACAGGGCGCAAGTTCTTTCCGTTCCTGCACCTAAATCGTTTTTAATCACATTAAAATGCGAGCGCAGGAATCGTTAAGCAGAATTGAAATGCACGCGTCTTATCGAATACCCGGTTCTTGGAAATTTGGAACCGGTTCTAAAATGGAACCGGTTTTTGATACCCAACCCTAGAAAGGACCCATGGAAAGTCATGTCTCCGAAACGGCATTGGACCCCACTGATTTTCTTTGCATGGACAAAAAACTGACATTTTCCAACATATCCTTTTTTTGTGTGCCACAGAAAGAAAAGTTATACAGATTTGGAAGGACAAGAGGGTGAGTAAATGATGACAGAATTTTTATTTTTGGATAAATTAATCCTTCAAGTCAAGAAAACCCTTATATATAATTAGTTATATTTTTTGTCTTATCACCGAGGCTTTTCTTAATGTCGGGGTGTTATAATTAATTTAGATGACATTTGAGCTTGCACAATTACATACATGCTCTGAAACACATGAGGTTTAAAATGAAAGTGACATAAGTGTGAATTGTCCTGGTAGTTCTCATCAGAGACCTAACCTACCAAAAACATTTAACATGCAGCACTGTCAACAATTAATGTTATTTTTAACACCATATATTTACTGTTGGAAGTACTGATGTATGTCCTGAGAAATTTTTTTTACATAGTTATAAATTGAAGTTATCAAAAAAAAAAAAAGCTTTTATTTTTATATACACAAACAGATGATGCCAATGGCATCCTTTGTACAATGAATATCAAAAGTTCATGATGTATTATTCATCTGATAAAGGTCTCCGATTTCAGGCTATGTGTCTGACACAAGATAGCTACAAACAACAAATGTGACTTGCTCCACAGTATAAAGACTAAAACAGACACATATCAGGCAAAATACTCACTAAAATTCAATATTACATTTATATTTACTGACTTAACAATGATTAGATAATGTATTTGTTTTGAGGGGAGTGTTTTATTATGGTTATTGACTCAATGACCAGTGAGTGAGATGATAATACAATAAACATCATAAATACTGATGTTTGCTGTACAGTTTAATCAGTAATTTATATTACGGACAAGTAAGTATTTTTCTGTACACTTTGTTCTGATTATTGCATGTATATACCTGAATATGTTGATATTTTGAGCAGAATGTAGTTTTTTATGTTCCTAAATACAGAAACATAGACTTGTGGTTTACCTACATTTACTTCTGTGTTGGTTCAGTGTAGGTGCACACATAGGGTGCTTTCACACCTGTGGATCGATTGCTTTGTTCCGAAACGGATTAAAATTATTATTTTTTTTTTTTTTCTTGGTGCGGTTCGCTTTCACACGGCAAAGTTTCTAAACGGACCAAATTTGTTAATACAAGTCACGCGCGAGTAAACCGAGACTGTAGGTATTGGTTGATAAAATGAAACTAACCAGGTTCGGCATGTACTGTGAATTATGGTCATTATTTTTCATACAACTAGGATATTATGCGAATGGTTGCATGCTTGTACAGGGTTTGCGTAAACTGTTCTCTCATTGGTCAACGTTTCACTGTTTATTTTCCAGGATTCCACCGTTGTCATCCGTCAGGAGACGGCATTATAAAATGAAAGTGTGCTTTTTTATTTTGAATGGTGAAGACGTGCTCACCCAGACATTCACAGGTTCATTTTGAAGTATTAGCAAAACAACAAAGCTAATTCTTTTCACGGAACTTATGTAATTACCCATTATACATTGTGATATAGCCTGGTTCGTTGGTCCGTTAGATCGGATTGCTTTCTCACTACAACCGAACCGCTCCAGAGTTCGTTTTCAATCGAGCCGAGACCACCTCGTTCAGGCGATCTCGGACCGATTGTTTTGGCGCAGATCCGAGCGCGGTTGCCATGTTCACATATGCCCAAACTAACCGAGCTAAGAGGGGAAACGTGCCAGGTTCCGAAACAAATGTATTTACAGTGAGATCATGTTAGGCGGATACTGTGTATCTAAGTAATAAATAACTTCAGTAAGAATAATAAAGTGAGAACCCTCTACCTTCCTCTTGTAAAAAAAAACAATAGAAGTCAAAATTGGGGGTTAACAAATTGCAGTGTTTACAAGTTACAATGTCAGAATCACTGACAAATCAATTTGCACAAAGATCACATCTCTTTTTTTAATGACCCCTCTTAGCTTAGATGCACACAAGGTAATAGTTTCTCAGGATATATATAAGTAACGGCTACTTTTAACAGTCATAACATAATTAAATTCTAAGATTTTTTATTATATGCAGAATACTCTTCCTGTATGCAATGGTCATTGCACTCCTTGCTTTGAATCACTCACATTATAAAAAAACTATAAAGATTCATTCATCAACGTCTTACATCTTTCACTAACCTTCACACCAGTCAGATCATCTTTGGCCACTTGTCTGCAGCGACCAGATGTAAAACTTTCATGTCATGTATTTTTGCTGTTTCGGTACTATACTCTCCATGAGGTATGAAACGGCCTTTGGTCTCTATGCTGAGTACGCGTCAGCTGTTCACCAACTGGGGAAAAAATGCATTGTTGTCAGAAGTGGGATTCGAACCCACGCCTCCAGGGGAGACTGCGACCTGAACGCAGCGCCTTAGACCGCTCGGCCATCCTGACACATGGTGCTAGTAGTGATGTTTTGCCCTCTAGTGGTGTGAATGCACAGCGTTTAAAACTACTTTCACTTTTCTCATTTATATTTGCTGTTTTCTTAATGTAACAGTCAAAAACAGCAATGCATACAATTCATATATGATATAATGCAACACATACAATATAATTTATAATATAATTTTTGCCCTGTGACATACAGCGTGGCCATTTCTATAACACCAAAATTGAGAACACGTGAGATTCAGTAAAGCTAGGATAAAAACTTACAAGTAATCCTAAACCTATGAGCAGTGACTGAAATTAACCTTTCCATTTAAGGGTGACATTTTCTTTCTTATATTGATTATTATTTACAGGGGTTAAAGCAAAAAAGAATCCTGAGCCTGAACTTTTTTCCGTGGATGGGCCATCACATGCAAAGCATGCAATGACTGTGGCAACTTTAACATTTGAAAGGATACTATAGCAAAGTTATTGTTTTCCTTATTCAAACAAATTTTTTTTCATGAATATATGGTTGAAAAATACCTTATACTAATAAGCAGAGGGCGCCAACGGCCTGGTGACGTTTCACTTTACAGCGTGATTAAACGACGTTTAAATCCATAAAATTTTAATATTTGGCCACATGCAAACTCTATTTATTTTGAAATCACGATGTACAATAAATTGCATATTTAGAAATAGGTTGATGTATTCTCCTGTGTTGGCAAAGGTTTATAAATGATTTATGTTACAAATCTAGTGAGATAATGCACACTGTTTTCCCAGATGAATGTTAAGCAATTCAAAAATCCCGAAATTGGTTCTGGCAATCATATCATTCTTATGGAGATGACATGATTACTCTGAGCTGTTTACAAAGCTCCGCTGCTTTTTAACTAGTTTTTCTATGTAAATATGCGCTAGATGGACATCGCAGCTTTTTGTCGCGCTTCTCCATTCATCAGGGCTGCGACTCTGCAATTGGATGCGCGTCTCGTGTTTATAAGAGCAAAAAATTCTGATTGGCTAGTAATGTCAGTTTGCTGTGCTCCTCTCATACCATTGGTAGGCGACAATCAACAATTTTTTTTTAATGTAGGATTATTTTTTTCCGCAGCCAAACACTGCACGCCGGAGATCCGGCACGGTGCCGGAGAACTTTAAGCCCTGTATTTACTATTTATTATTTAGTATTATTTACTCCATGCAAATTACTAAATGTATTCATTTAATTAGAATAATAAGACACTATAGCAATCAAATAAAATGAGTATCAACAAAATCCATTGTTGTAAAATTGGTACAGAAGCTGCACCTGAAGTGTCAAATAGATTATTTACACAGACTGATGCATGAATAAATTTACACTGCAGTTACAACTGCATTAATAGTGTTATAAGATATATTGTTATATATATTTTTAAAGGGGTCATATGATGCGATTTCAATTTTTCCTTTCTCTTTGGAGTGTTACAAGCTCTTGGTGCATAAAGAAGATCTGTAAAGTTGCAAAGACTAAAGTCTCAAATCCAAAGAGATATTCTTTATAAAAGTTAAGGGTCAGCCACACCTACCTAAAACGGCTCGTTCTAACACGCCCCCACATACCTACGTCACTATCTGGGAAGATTTGCATAACGCCGACCAAATGTTCACGCAAAGAAAGAAGGCGTATTCTCGCTGTAGAACTGTTGTTGCCGCCGCCGCCATGTCATGAAGGCGCTGTGTGCTTCGTTGTGAAAGCGAAACTACTTTGTTTGGCCTTCCAAAAGAGGACACGACTAGAAATCAGTGGTTAAGTTGTATTTACAACACTGTTCCAGAACAGTTCAACCCAAATATTCAGATGTGTGCAGCACATTTTATGGAGGACTGTTTCCTGATCCTGGGAGAGTAGACTATAATGCCGGCTGTTCTGACTCAAAGACTGTAAGTACGTTTTTTATATTTAAAGAGTTTTTATATTTTATATATTTAAA